CCGATCGCCCCCAGGACAACAGCTGAGCGTTTTTCCCTTTCCTTTCCCATTTCCTTGCCTCACGCCTTCACCGGGCACCCGACATCTCTTTTTCCCCAGAGCCGGGCGGCCCGGGCTGTGCAGCTCAGCCCTCGGGCGGCTCTGGGTGCTCGGCGCAGCCAGCCCGGGTGGGCCCGGAGGGCGAGCTGGGGCCGACACAGGAGCCGGTCCCGTCTGAGCCGGTCCCGTCTGAGCCCGAGACAGGAGCCGGTCCCGTCTGAGCCGGTCCCCCCTGTGCCCGACACCGGGGACAGCGACCCGCGCCTGCGGACCTGTCGCCGCGGTCCTAGATGAGGTGGATCATCACTCTGCTCTGTGATCTTGTGCACACCAAGGAAATTCTTTCCACGCTTCTCTTTTGGTCTCACCGGTGTTTTTAGGAGAGAAAAATTAGGCTGAGCCCTGGAAAGCAGTCACCGAGTTCAGAGAGCAGCAGTGTAGATCCCCCCGTGTGGTGATGGGTGTGTGGGTGAAAGGATAGCACTGTGTCCCGCAGTTTCACTTCACTCTGCCTCTGAGGAGGAGGTTTATGAGTGAATAAGAGTTTCAGCTCCATTCTGAGTTTCTGTACCAAACCTATACTTTAAAAAATAGAACACAACCAAAAAAACCCGTTGTTTCTATTTAGGGTCAATTTTTTATTCAGAAGGTGGTTCCTTTTGATTCCGTTTTCTCTTTCTGGTTAACTCAGTGATGTGAAGTACGTGGAAAGGGCTCCCCCCTGGTTCATTTTCTGTTCCTCTGAAAGCTGGTTTTGTCACAGTGTGGAATTTTGATGATTTCTTCATAATGGTATGTGGTTTCTGATAGTTGTGTGTGCGTGGTTGCAAGGATTGGTTGTAGTCAGGTAGTCACTGAGCTGATGTCAGTCGCTGGTGGGTAGAAGCTGCTGCTCTGGGAGCCAGTTGCTGTGCCATTGGCTCTGTGGCTGGAGCAAAATACAGATTTATATGATGATTCTAAAAAGCCATAGGTTCTCTATGCTGAATAAGGTGTAAATTTCAGTATTGGGCTGAAAGATCAAACAATGTTGGCACACTTATTTCGGGAGTGAAAAATCTGGAGAATGCAATTAGTGGGGGTAAATTGACCTGTACAGAATTAATCTGAATTAAACCAAATAGTACTGGTGCTGCAGGTTGATGTTCCTCCAGATGTTCCAGTCAGAGTCCAGATGCTCCAAGCTCAGCCCATCGCTGCCTGCAGCCTTTGGAGCTGCCCCTGGCTCCAGGCAGGCAGGTGCAGGTGGACTCACAATTCCAACTGTCCTTGCTAGAAAATGGCTTCTGGGAATCATGTTTCTGGAAGGTGTCTGCTTGGCCGCTGGTCTGGCTTCTGGAAGTGTAATTGGGTTGGCCAGTGAGATAATGAGGACAGTATTCATCTCTGTTGATTGGTATTGTAGAATACATAAAATTTGCCACTGCTTCCTCACTGGGAATAATTCCAGAGGATGTTGTTTGTGACCTGCAGGGCTGGTTTGGAGCCCAGCTATGCCACTGCTCTGTGGGCTGAGCATTCGGTGGGTTTTAAAACCCTGTGTTTTTGGATCCAGTGAGAATTCCTGTAGCTCTGTGTGCCATGGAACAATGGGAATCTGCTCTCCTTGTGTGGCCTATGAGGATTGAGGTGAGCAAAGATGTATGAAGGCTGTGCTCAGGTTCTGTGGAGACTTACGAGAATGTGCCTGAAAAGTGGTATTTCTTGTGTTTCTGTTCTGCTTTAATTTTTTCTGCACCCTTTAGGGGATATTTGCATTGTTTTTAACAGCCTGTGCTGGTGATCTCTGTCATTTCTGGGTATTCAGGCTGAGCCCAGTCCACATGATCTGTTAAAACCCGCCATCCCAGGAATTCCTGCACTCACTGATCAGATTTCGGTGCTCATGAATAGTTGGTGACAAACTCGTGGATTTTCCAGGAAACACCACTATGAACTGGTTTCCTTGTAAGGATGTTTGGAAACCTTGTGAAGATCCAGGGTTGTATCATGAACCAGATGAGTGAAATCATCTTCCTGGAATTTGTGTTCATTTGGGATCTGGATTGTGGTAAAAGGGTTCCTCAGCCAAAAGTTCCTCATAACGAATTCTGGTAAAGGTTGTGATTAAGTTTCCTCTTGATGTGTGGTGATGGTGGAATCATCAGGATGGGCCACAGGACAGTGGCTGCTTGCTGGCCCGAGGACCTGGGGTCCTCAGGGTAAGACCAGCCACTGTGGTTCCATCCCAAGCAGCCCAGCTCCCATGAGTGGGGTTTGCAGTCAGGTTCCTGTCAGGGTCAGGGATGCAGTTCAGTCCCTTGCTCATGGATTCCTGGATCTCATGGGAGCTGCTGCTGCTAATTGTGTTGAAATGTGGTTTTGTCATGCGAACAGACTCCTGCTGGGGGATATTCTATGACTGGATGAATTTGCATGTGTGAAACCTCGGAGAGGAGAAGTTGCTGCTTGCTTCCTGTCACTCGCTTGTGTTGCTGGCAGTAAGCTAGTTTCTTCCCAAAGTGACTTCAAAGAAATGAAATTTGTTCTGAAATTTCTTTCTGAAGAATGAGTTTCCTGATGTTTCCCTCACAGCTTTTGTGAGGTTTGCAGGGGAAGTTGTGATCCTCTCTTGTACTTCTGTGGAATGCCAGTGGCATTGCTAGAGGGGGATGGATCCCTGTTGTGGCTCTTGGTGCATTCCTGCTTGGACATAGTCGCTCCTCTTGTGGGTCATTCTTGGGGTGTGACTGCTCTGCCTTTGCTGGGGCTTCCACTTGGCCACCTTGTGTGCTGTAGATATATTTTTGGGTAAGATTGAGGGATGGAGGCATTTTTCTCTTTAAAGCAGTGCAATCTTTAAACCTGAAACATGAACAACTTCAGCCCAGCTGAGGAGGAAACTCGACATGAAGGGAGTGTTGGCCATGGCCAAGCTGATGTGTGTGTGATGGAGATAATTCAGAAGCGTCCGGTTACAGGTACAGGTGGTACCACTACGGCACTGCCAGACACCCGAGCGCCCACACTCATTTTCTGCAGCTCCCAGCCTCCTTGCCCTCCCACGCTGTCCTGATGGAGTTGTTTCCCCTCATCTCCTTGCCACCTCAGGGAAGGAGCTGGTGATGTTCAGATCTGTTCTCCCACATTTTCCCTGTGTTTCTCTCTTTCTACATTTGGCTCTGGTGATCCACATCAGATTATGGAAAGGGAAGGGCATTCTTGCCATTGTGGATCCCTGCCATGTATTGGCCTTGGCTGCAGCTCTTCCTTGACCTGCTTGGAGTCTTTCTGGGAAGCAAAGGTTTCACTATAAAGAATTTCTCCATCTTTCTTTGCACAGATCATCATGGCTCCTTCTAGCCCCGCTACTCACCCCTCCTGTTCCAGTAATCACTGCCCCACCGTGTTCCCTCTGTCCAGAAGGAGCACACAGATTCCAGTGGATCAGGAATCTGGTCCCAGAGTTTGGGATCTCCAGCTCGCACGTCAAGGTGCTTTCGTCCCCGGCGGAATTCTATGAACTCCTGAAGGTAAGGTGTGGGCTGCAAGTTGTGGGAATGGTTTTGATACAATCCCAGCTTTGCAGCTGCTGCCTGGTAACTGTTCTCATATGAATAGGTTTAGCTGCAGGGAGTGTGGTCTTCAGTTTCCCAGAAAGCACTAGTTTCTTCCTGGAGTTTTAGATGCAGCAGTGGTGCTGCTGTGGCTCCACAGAGCTCCATATGTTTTACGTCGCCATTCTCCGTTTTACCCTTTCCTCTTCTCAAGGCCAGGGAGCCAGAGCAGAGATGTGGGTGAAGGATTCCTCCCAGAGGAGTGCAGCACTGCCAGGTCTGGGCTGATGGCTCCTCAGGACCAGACACCCTGTGTGAAATTGAACTTGTGTTTTGCTGCTCTCAGGTGCAGATAAAAGCAGCCAAGCAGCGGGTGGTGATGGCCTCACTGTACCTGGGAACAGGACTCCTTGAGCAGGAGCTGGTGAGTGTGGAAGGGTTTGGGAAGGCCAGGAAGGGATGTGGAAGGTAGGCAGGCAACGCTTCTGGTTTAGGTCTGGTATGGAGCCAGGGAACTGCTGCACTTCTTCAGGGGATAGCTAGCCTGGACCTGTCAGAAGGGACTGGCCTGGTGTTCAGAGTGCTCAGGGGGGCTTTGTAAAACTCAGGTCATGGAAATCTATTTTTCTCTGGCATTTTTCTTGAACAAGATTTGAGCTTAGGTGTGTAGTGCTGTTGTTTGGTGCTCCAGGTGCAGGACACAGATGGAGGATTTGTTTTCTGCATTTGAGATCGAGGTCAGCTTTGCTTCATGGTATTTGCCTTATTTTTTTATTTCTCTGGAAACAAAAGCATTTTTGCCCAAGGGCTTTAAGAAGAAGCCTGGCCTTGGCCGTGATCTGATGTTAGGAAGCAAATGCCCTGGCAGGGTAAAGGTGGATGGAGCCTGCATAGGATTTGTGCCCATCTTTGTCTGGGCTTGCACACAGGATTTGAATTTGCATGTGACAAACAACCTTGTAGTTAAAGAATAAAACTGCAGTGAATTGCTACCAACGGTTGTCTTTCGCGATGCGAGTCTGGGATTTGGAAATGATACTGGGACTTTTTCTGCTGACAGTAATTGCTTTTGTGAGACCTGAAGAATGTGGACATGTAAAACTGAGGACCTTTGATCTGTGGCTTTAGGCTGATGGGAGCTGCCAGGCTGACAGATGCAAAGGCTGAACTGTCTGTGTTTGACACAAGGAGGGAGGACTTGCACCAGGTCCATGGTCTCCTGCTGCTGAGCATTTTCCTTGGAAAGTGTATTTGCTTTTGTAATGAGGGGAGAACTCTCTCTGCAGGTGTATTGCTTAGAAGAAACACTGGAGAAATCACTGCAAGCAAAAAGCTCACCTGACCTCAGAGTTTCCATTCTCCTCGACTACACCAGGGGCTCCCGGGGTAGGAATTGCCACTCATTGCTTTTGTCAGAGACTGATTTTACTGTTAGGCTAGAGAGACAGTTCTTTTCAGAGTGGGTATCTTGGCCAATTGGACCTACTTGCTTAAAGCATGCACATTACAGGATTGGTCTTTTGTATTTCAGAACTGCATATTCCCAGAAAATCTTCAAGCTGAGCAGTTTTTCTTCCAAAAATAGGTGGTAGGAGGAAAAAGGGCCAATTCTGTGCAATTTGTGTAGTCTTGCTTGGTTCATTTGTTAGTGCATTTGCTCTTATCCATCATGCTCATTTACATTTTCATTTTGAAAGGGGAATGGGAATTGTTGGAAGCAGCAGCACGCTGAATTGGGAACCTGTGGTCACCTGCAGTGACTCTTGCAGATGTGTTACCCGTGCTGCTGAGGCTTGGTTAAGAAGCTTAAAAAGTGTCAGACCTGTCCTGGATGTCAGTTTCAATATTGACATAGTACAAATGAAAGTGATTTTAAAAAAACAAAGAAAAAAGGAAAACCTGTGAAGTGCCAGTGGATGGGAGGGGTGCTCACCCTGTAACCAGCTGAAGAGCTGTGTCATGATGTGTCCTGTCTTTGTGATCTTTGTTTGAAGCTCCCTTTCTCTCCCAGGCAGGAAGAATTCTCGAACAATGCTGATCCCATTGCTGCAGCGATTTCCCGAGCAAGTCCGCGTGTCCCTCTTCCACACTCCAAACCTGCGTGGACTTCTCCGGCTCCTGATTCCAGAGCGTTTCAATGAGACCATTGGGCTGCAGCACATCAAGGTCTATCTGTTTGATGACAATGTGATCCTGAGCGGGTGAGTCCTGCTGCGTCTGGCCTTGGGTTGTTTCACTGGGCTTTGGGTAGGGTGTCTGTGCTGCCAGAGCTGCCTGAACATCTGGACTCCATCGTGATCCTATCAGTGCTCTTCTGAGATGGGAGAGCAACCACAGTTCCCACACATGAGATTCTCACATGAAAGCGATTCTTTCTTAAAGGGAAAAATATTTTGAGATTCTGCAGGAAATGGCCAATTTGTGCTTCAGTGCAGCTATCCCAGAGTGAGGCCTGTAGCCTGGGCTGGGAGGTTGAGAATCTTGTACCCGTCTCTTCCCTTTCTCTTCAGTGCAAACCTGAGTGATCTGTACTTCACCAATCGTCAGGACCGCTATGTCTTGCTGCGGGACTCTCCCGAGATCGCAGACTTCTTCACAGAGCTTGTGGACGCGATTGGAGACGTGTCCCTGCAGCTACGGCAGGATGACACAGTCCAGATGATGGAGGGAATGGTTCACCCATACCAAGGTAGGGGGGAGTTGTCTCACCTGCTTGGGTCATGGAATCCAGAGGAGAGGAGTGACAGCCAGGGTTTATTTAAGTATGACTTAGACTCCATCCCTGTGGGTATTGCTGGGTGTCTGACCATTGTTCAGACTGTGGGGTGATCTGTTTTGTGCCATCCAGAATTAAAATCAAGATTCCTTGAGTTTCAGGACTGGGTCTGTTGGAGTTTTCCCAGCACAGTGACTGTCACAGGCTAATTTGGCAGGGCATGCGGAGGCTGGAAGTAACTCTACAACCGTCTCAGTGCTGCCTCATAAATGTGCTGTTTTTGGCCTTAAACAAGAACTTCAATCCTTTGAGAAGTTTTTCTGACATTAGCAGCTGCAATTCCAGGTGCTCTGAGTGTGCATGTTTACGAATGTGCCACTATTGTTGGTAATTAATCTCTTGTAGTAGAGTTTGTTCTGGGAATCAAATGGGAATCGGTTCAGGAAGACTGAGAACAAGCGTAAAATTGGGCAGAGAAGGGCATTGATGTGCCAGGCTGATGGCGTCATCAGTTTTTGTCCTGGCCTTGCACTGCTGGGTGATGTGAGTTCAGGCTGGGGGTGGGAGTTTATTTGTGTGTTCAGCTCATTCTTGGTTGTCAGTGTAGCCTTGCCTTCGTCCTTTCCTTTCTCAGGGGATTTTTCAGGCCACTGCCAGTTGCTGAACATTTCTCTTCTGTAATGTAGCTCTGCCGACCTTGAAACAGCTGGTTTAGGCCTTAAGACAGAGAGTCATGTGCACTCTGTGTTGGCTCCTATTTGTTCCTGTATCCATGTCCTGTCAGTAGTTTTTCCTGGTGTGTAATAGATGACACGTAGCTCTGTGCCTGTAGACCTCAGACACGCTCTCTCTGACTTTTCCTGCAGGGGACAAAGTGGCTTACTGTGAGATTGCCAACCGGAGGGTTATGGAGGTCATCAACTCTGCCCGGACACGGCAAGAGCTCCTTCATGCAAAGACTTTCCACAGCAGCCAGCCAGGCAGCTCCCTCCTATCCCAGCAAGGCTCTCAAGCATCTGGGAGCCTGAAACCAGAACCTGACACCTGGATCTATCCCTTAATCCAAATGAAACCTTTTGGGATTCAAATAGATGAGATAGTCACAGAGACACTGCTGACAGAGGCTGAGCGGGATGCCAGGATATACCTCACCACTGGCTACTTCAACTTGACACAGGCCTACATGGACCTCATCCTGGGCACAAGGGCTGAGTACCGGATCCTCCTGGCCTCACCAGAGGTCAATGGGTTTTTTGGTGCCAAAGGGGTGGCAGGTGCCATCCCTGCTGCCTACGTTTACATTGAACATCAGTTTTACAGTGAGGTCTGCTACCTGCAGCAGCAGGAGAGGGTGCAGCTGCAGGAGTACTCCCGTGCCGGGTGGACGTTCCATGCCAAAGGTAAGATGCCCTTATCCCAAGGGGTCTTGTGCAGAGCTGTGTGAGAGCTGTGCATTTGGATTGCGAAAGGAGTAATGGGCTGGCTGGGTGCCAGTCTGGACTTAACCTTCAAAACACTCCTCCAAGGTTCAAACAACTTGCTTGTGTAAATCTGGAGGGTTTGGATTACTTGAGGGATACCTTACCCTTGGATTTCCAGTCCAGTACAGTCCCAGGGATGGTGTAAGAGCTGTCCCTGTGGTGGCACTGAGGCACTGCCTGGATGAGAAACACGATGTGAAGGAAAGGAAGCATCTGGATGTGTTCATGATGCAGTCAGTGCCGTGGTGCAGTTTCTTGTATCCCTTGGGCTGGTTTCAGCAGGCAGAAGTGCTGACTCTGCTGGGGACCCTGCAGCAGTACCTGGGGCAGGTGCCCAAAGGGAGCTGCTCCCGGGGCCTTCCCAGCAGCAGATCTGTATGGGGACATTATGAGTGTTGGGGGATTTGCTCCCGTTGACAGCTCACAGGGGATACAGAGTGTGAGGAGTGGCAGCATGTGCTTATGGGAGTCAGGGCAGCCAGAGGGCAGGGGGCTGAGGAAACAATATGGACTAACATGCAATGAGTTAATGAATGCTGCCCTCGTGGTCTTCTCTGGGAGACCCTGGATTCCTGCTGGATACACTATGCCCAGCTCCCACAGGCTCAGCACAGTGTTCCAGCTGGAGTGTTTGGGCTGTGGTTGGAGCACTGGGGCTGTGACTGTTCCTTTTTCAAGGAGAGCTGTTAGTGGGAATGGCTCCATCTCTCTGCTTCTCTCAGGGGTGCTCAGAGGGAGGCTCAGAGGTGGTGGGGAGGGAAAGCTGCAGTGTCAGCCTTCTCTCAACTGTTAAAAATCCCTGGGTGCTATTGGCTGCCTCTGTGTTGAAAGGACAAGCAGATCTCAGGGTCCCCCTCCCCAGCACAGTCAGGAGTGCAGGGAAAACTCTTATCTCACACGGGGCAGCACGAGGGAGGTCCCTGCCTGCCTGCCTGCCTGCCTGGGGTGTCCTGTGTCTTTCAGGACGCACATGCTTGAGTGGTCTGTGGTTCCCAGGTTCTGCCTTTGTTGAGCATTGCAGACTCCCAGTGGGATGTGGTTTGGCATAAACTGAACCTAGAAATAAGGACTGCTTTTCCCAGCTACCAAAGTGCAGATGGTCATTGGTTCTGTTTGGGCCAGCCAGGTCTCATGGAACAGTGCTTTGGGCTCTCTGCTGTGTGGTGTTTGTTTGGAGAGGGATGCAGGGCTTGGAGTTCAGCAGCTCTCGTGCCTGGGACAGTTGGAGACATTTACTGCCTTGTTTCCATTCCCCTTCAGAGTGCTGGGAGGAGCAGTGTGCAGCTCCTCCTCTGGCATGCTCTGCCCTGGACACACCTTGGATTCACCTCTTTCCTTCTGCGGGAGTCACGTGTTTGGCAGAGAGGACAAGGACAGAAGAGGGAAGGGAGGAAGCCTTGGAGATGTGAAGGGCATGTGCACAAGGAGCACATGGAGCCTAGCTCCTGACTGAGGACGTGAGATTTCCAGCAGCAAATAGTGCCTGTTGGTGCTTCCTCTCTGGGCTGAGACATGAGACCCCCTTTAGTGTCCCATGGGATCTCGCTGACATACCCCAAACACTGGGGCTGTGCTGCGTGCCCCTCCCACTCCTCTTAAAATGTTTGTATCTGCATGCACAGTGTCAGGTGGTGTTCCCAGGGGTGTCTCTCCTGGGTGCATTCAGCACCATGCAGATGTAGCAGAGTGCTGCGCAGATGGACTGCCAGCAGTGTGGCATCCCAGAGCCTACCTGCCACTTTCCTGGGTGTGGTGTTGGGGGTGACACGGGTACATCCCTTGGGGTCAGGGTCCCTTCCAAGCAAGTTCTGGTGGCAGGGTTTTCTCATTTTTCCTGCAGGCCTCTGTTACTGCTATTGACTGGCGCTGGGAAGCTGCGCTTCCCCTTGCTGGAAGGTGAGTCACTGTTTGAGCAGATCCTGCCAGATGGCCATGAAACCAGAGACCTGTAAAGGCTGTGGGACTGCCACAGGACACTTGGGAAGGCAAGGAATCTGTTCCTCATGGCTGCTGCTTGGGCAGAGGTCCAGCCTTTGGCTGGTCAGGCACTAGACAGTCCCTGGCAGGGTCCTGTTTGGTGGCAGAAAGTGACAAAACTCTGTGCCATGTGGATGCTTTCCTGTGGCTCCTGTGGTGGGCTGCCCAGCCCCGCCATGGAGGGGTGAGCCCGCGGGGGCTGGAGGTGCATTAGGGCAGTGCCAGCTCTGTGAGTGTGCTGTGGGGGCGGGGAGGAGGTTACAGGAACTGGCAGTGAATCGGCAGCATCTTACTCAAGGCATTCTTGGAACTGCTCTGGGGCTGAGTTGGGAAACCTGCTACTATTTTAAGGCTGAAGTGGTTTTTATGCTACGGGTTCTTTGTTGCAGTCTGTGTGTGACCAGCCATGGGGGTAAGCCTCTACTGAGGACTCACTCAGGGCTCTGCTGAGGAGAGCAAAGGCTTTCTGGCTCCATTTGTGCAGAGTTGCCACACAGCCTCTCCTTGGCAGCAGTCCTGACTCTCCTGTGGCTGTTCCTTCTTGTCCTGCTGCAGTGGTGTGCCTGAGAATAATGTGATGTTTCCATCTTTCCCTTGAAAACCTGTCCTGGGCTCTGTCCTGCCTGCTCTCTGTGCTGGCAGAGCTGTGGGAGCTGTGCTGGTGAGTGGCAGCAGGGGCCAGGTGCCCTGGCAAGAGTCTGATCTCATCCCTGCTGCCTCCTCTGGAACTGGAGTGAAATAATTTGCATTTCTCTTCTGTGTCTCTTCACAGTGGCATGTGAATTCACCTGCCTGAGCTGGGAGATGCCTTTTCATGTCATGGTCCTGGGATGGGGGTTAGTCCCTGGCCCTGGGACAGGCTGGACAGACCTAGCCTGTCTGCCTGGGGCTTTGGGGCTGGTTCCTTCACTGAAAACCTGTTTGTCTTCTCTCAGTGTTTCTGAATTCACTGTGGTGCAAAGCAGCCTCTAATGCAGTGCCTGCACTTGCTCTGGGCTGTTCTGGGGCAGTGTGTTCCTGCACTCCCAGTCAGAACACTCTGATTTGGGCTGTGCCAGGGCACCCCACGAGTCACACACATCAGCACAGCCCTGCAGGCCCTGGGGGCTGCTCCCTGCCCTTGAGGTCTTGTACAGAATCTGTAATCCACGTTTAAAGCATTTAATTCACTCGGAGTGAAGGGATCATGTGAGCCCACCCTGGCCGTTCCCTTGGCTGTCATGCTGCCTCTCTTCCTCATTTTTCCTGCAGGCCTCTGGCTGTACCTGGCAGGGAGTGACCTGCCCTGCCTGACCCTGATTGGCTCTCCAAATTTTGGATATCGATCAGTTCATCGTGACTTGGAAGCTCAGGTTGCCATAGTGACAGAAAATAAGACCTTGCAGCAGCAGCTCCACCAGGTAAGCAGCAGATTCTGGGGTGCAGTGGGGATGTTGTCATCCTTCTGGGTCACACAGAGAATGCTGATGGCGCAGTGGCAATAAAAACCTGCAGCTACCGTAACTCAAAAGCTGCTGGAGCATGGGGAGTCCTGAGGAGCTGTCAGTGAAGTGACTATTGATGAGCTGCCTGCTGCAAGTACCCAGTGCTGGGAAATGAGGCCATAACGGGAAGGAATGTGTGTCCCCAGTGACCTCGGGTACCGGGAGTGCTCAGGATGTGCACAGAGCTGCTGGAGGACCTGCTGACTGCTCTGCTCACCAGCCACACTGCACCTCTGAGCCGTTACCCCAGCATTTGGGCACTGCCCAGGGTGTGACAGGTTCGGGGGTAATGAGCCCTGGAATATCTGAGCTTGGACTGGGAGAGGGTTTCTGGACTGGCTGGGAAGCCCATGAAGTTCCGTGACAAAATCCTTACCTTGAATAATAATATGACATTATATAATCCTGACACAAACATTTTAAAGTGGTTTGATATTCAGTGTCCCAGGGTTTTTCGGTGCTGTTTTGGTTTTAATTAGGCAGCTTGGAATGCTCAGCAGTTCTGCTACTGCTCCAAATCCTGCCTTGTTCTCCAGCTGTCTTGACTGAATCTTCTGCTGGAACTGACTGTCACAAGTCATTTCTCCTGCAGTGTTCTGTTTCAAAGCAGATCAGTTTGGTGCCTCTATGTGGCTTGGAGACCTCAGAAATGCACTGTATGAGGCAGGTGCTGGCAGAGTTGTCTGCAAGATCAATGGGAATTGCCCTCTTGCATCAGGGCTCTTCCCTGGGATGAGTCAGAGTGTATCTAATCAAAAACAATTCTATTACTGGAAGAGTTGCTTGAGTATTTCAATTCATATCTTGCCTCTGCTTGTTTCTAATGGAAGGGGAAAATCAATGGAAATGTGACACAAAGGAATTTTCTTACACAGGGCTGCAGTGATCTCATTGAAAGGGCTTTAAACCATTCCCGATTGCTGGAAGCTGATTCTGAGATGGGCTGGGTGTTTACTTTCTGTGGTCTTTTTTAGAAGACTTAATCCATTCCTGGGATGCTGCCATGAAATCACTTTGCCTATATAATGTTCAGTTCCATTTTGAAAGTGTGTGCTGAGATTTGGGAAGAAATGTGAGTGGTCTGGGTGTCTTTGGGTGCTTCTGTGAATGAACTGAGGTTGATTCAGGGAACTGGCCTTGCCTCAAGTGCTCAGATCTCACCGTATCGAATGGTCATGGAGCAGAATCCTCACAGCAGGGCTGACTAGAGCTCTTGGAGCATTTGAGGGCTCTCAAATTAGAGTGAATTGGCAGATTAATGTCTTGGTTCATCTTTTTGGTGTTACTTTCCTGTACTGGGTTCCCGCTTCCCTCTTCCACCCTGAATTTAAGTAGTGCAGAGTATTTTCTGCTGTTTGTGACAGCTTCAATTATAAAAAAACTGATGAACAAACTTCCAGGAGCTGTTCTGCTCCTTGTTTGCCTGCAGATCCTGAAACCTGACTGTTTGTGCTAAAAACCCCACTTACCTGTGATCAAAGTGCTGCTCTCACGTGCTGTGAGTGCTTCATTTCCTCCCTCAGCAGTTGGGTGCAGCTCTGGGGGCCCGAGTGTTTCTGGTAATTTAGCTGAGATCACGACTGCACATTCATCTGCAAACACGGCGCCTGAGCTGTGTCTAGAAAGAGCCACATGAGCCAGTCCCAGGAGGTCTGGGTGAGGTTTCCTTTTCTGGCAATTACAGCCTGGCCTTGAGGAGTTTTCTGAAACCGAAGCTCTGCTCATGCAACTGTGGGGCACAAAAAGACAAAACCCTCTACCCTTGTTCTTTGTAAGAGTTTAAATTACAAATTCTTGAGGAGAAATGGTGCATAATTGTGGCAAGATCCCTAGTCAGTTTTATCTGAGAATTTGCTTCTCTGAAAGACCATTATGTAACTTAACACTTTGGATTTACTGAGATGATGTTTCTTTCCCTGTTCAGGAGCAAGAGCAGCTTTACCTCTGCTCAGGTGTGGTCTCAACATCAACGTTTGAGCAGCCAAATCGTTATGTGAAACTGTGGGTGAAGCTGGTCACACCTCTGATCAAGAATTTCTTTTGAAAGAAGAAAAGTTGCTGCTTTGGGTGAGTTCGCTGCCATTATGGGGAATTATTGCACTGACTGCAGTGAATAGCTGCAGTGCTCTGTCATGAAAGAAAGATGATGGACATGCAGATGATGTGGGGAAAGCCAGGCACATCTCGATTCCTCTGGGGCTGCCGTGGACTGGGATCAGTGCTCGGGTCCTGACTGGGTTTTGTCTACTAGAATTTCTGGAAGGGGCACTGACAGAGAGCCCATACAGTGGTATTTTCCATGTGTGGAAATAAAACCCTTTTCTGAAATGTCCCTTTCAGGGTTTCTCAGAGACAGACTGTATTTGTGTTATCTTGACCAGCCAATAGAAAGCATTGCTGGAATACTTAAAATGTTTCTCTTTGCATCCAATCAGGGCTTTGCTTTGCCCCTGTAGTATTGGTTAACAGGAACAGTTGGTTTTGTTTTTCTGTTTTGTGGTGTCCTGGGGTTCCTGGTGGTTCCACTGCTCCATAACTGAAGCCCTTGTGAGCTTCAGGACATCACTGTTCCTGTTCCTGTGGCGTGCACAGTCTGTGCAGCTGGCACTGCTGTGTGTGCCCATATCCCTTTTCCTTACCTAGCTATGGCCTCCCCCCCAGCAGGGTTTGCCCGGCTCCTTCACATTCAGATATGTTACAAGTGTCTTTCATGAGTTGTGGAAGGGCAGGAGAAGGCTTTTGGTGCTGGTGTGGGATGTTACTTGCTGGAAGTAAGAGGCTCGAACCATAACATCCTGCAGAGAAGGTGTTTGGAAGCCAGGTAAAAAGGTGTGGGAGTGCAGGGTAGGATGTGAGCAAGGGTTTCTGATCTGGTAGTGCCACAAGCAGGATTTCTGGCACCTGAAAAAAGCTGATGGTTGTAACTGATTATTATTATTGCTGCTCTATAAAGAAATGAGCTGCTGTCTGTGGCTGCCCTTGGGGCTTGTCTGACTGTGAGCTGTGAGGGAAGTTTGAGGTAACTATTTTAGAACTAATTGTTCAAATATTTCACAGGGTAGGATTTTGGTGAATTGTTTTATGCCAAAGGTGCCAGCCTTGGCAAATCTACTCACCTTAGTGTGTGTTACTGCTGAAACAAATTATTTGTTGTGAAGAAAGGGTTGAGTAAGTTCTGTACCCTAGAAATAGAAATAACATACTTCAGAGAGGAACCTGTTTGCAGCTGGAGCTTCTGTGGGCTGTGCAGGTTGGGTGTGGGTGAGCTGGACCAAATCTGCACCTCTCTTCTCCCGTCTACTCCAGCCAGACCCATGCTCCGTGCAGGAGCGTGAGGGATTTCTGCTCAGTTTGCACTGAGCCATCACACAAAGAGCTGTGGGAAGATGGAGAGCCAGAAGAGAGAAAGGAGTCAGGCACTTGTGTGCAGTTGTTCTGTCTGGCTTCCCACGGTGGTCTGGCTCCCCACCAGCGCCACGTCAGAAACCACCAGTGGAAAACCAGTATCCGCCCTGAGAAGCCCGTGTGCCGCGAGAGCAGGCTCCACATGGCCGTGCTTCCAGCACTGCTTTTGTTGATACTTTGCTAAAATGGTTCTGCTACAATCAAATATAGACTGAAGTACACAACTTGGAGGTTTTTACAAGCAAAAGCACTTCTGTTTTCCATTGTCGTTATAGTCTAGGCCTCTAGGAGCAGAGCCACACCAGCCAGGACCCACTTGGCGGGTTTTTCTTTCGTCTTCAGGTTGAAGGTCCAGACGTAGGTGGGCCCTCGCATCCGTGTCTTGTAGACGGGACATTCGTAGACGTTGGTGGTGTCCATGCGGTCCACGGGGACGGCTCTGAGCAGGATGACCGGCATCTCAGGCGTCAGCTCCTTCATCCGCGCGTCCGCGATCGACCCCGAGGGCACGTCCCAGCGCGCACCTGCAACGGCACGGGGTGCCTCGCTGGGCTTCAGAACTGCTGATGGCTGCGAGCTCAAAGGGGAAGGCTGGGTAGAGTGGCTCAACGGTGGCTAGGTCTGTTCTCATCTCACTGTGACCCAGGACTGCATTTGCCTTACTGTGTGTGGGATGTCTGAATAAATTCTGTCCCCACCCCTCCCTTCAGCCTGGCTTTATATGGGAATCGCAGAGTTTAAGGTGAACTGTCCGTGGTGGGATCTATCACGTGCTGTCCCATGTGCTCCCTGTTTTTGTCCCAGTGGACCCCTCAGCTGCTCTGCTGAACTGCCTTCTTCCCTCTCATTAGCAGTAATTAGGATTTAAATTTCAAAATCTGTCATACTCGAGCATCAACTAAGAATGTGACAAATGTATTCACTAGAGCCCTGTAGCTCCAGGAGCCCTGGGGTTCATGAGCTGGAGCCTGCATTGCTAAAACTCAAATTTCTGGTTTGGAAAGGCTGTGATCTGGACAGTGGTGCCCTCAGCTGGTGGCTGAGCCTGGAGCCAGGTGGAGCCAGGTGGAGCCAGGGCTCCCTGCTCTGAGCTGCCACCAGCATGGGGTGGTGGCACTGTGACACAGTAACACCGCCAGCAGGCAAGTGCTGACACTGCTCGGCTGCACGAAGGAGAAGGGCTGAGCTGGGCCTGTTCCACATCTGAAACATCTCAGAGATGCAGTTCTTACCTTCCATGAACAGCCCATGCACGTAGGAGCCTTCTCTAGGGGGAAATGTTATGTCCTCACGGATCTTCTTGGTCACATCCACTGCCAGACACATCTTATCCAGTGGCCACTGCTTTTTCCTGGCTGTGGACTGCATGATGGCTGTGAGGAAGGATTGGGGGTTGAAGAACCCTGCCAGCCACACTGATGCAGGCAGCACAAAATCTGTTGACCAGACTTCCAGTTCCTGGAAAAAAAAGCAGCAGAGTCCTTTAGGGTGGAGAATGTGCTGTGAGCTGCAGGCCAGAGTGACAGAGCTGATGCTTTGCTTCAGCTGATCTTGCAGAGTGGGGACTGGCTGGAGGTGGTGTGGGAGGAGTAAGCAGCAGATTCCCCTGCAGCAATGAAGCTGAAACCCTGAATTCATACTGCAGAAAATACTGCTGTTATTTTTCAACAAGGCCAGTTTTATTATTTTTTTATGGGGCACCCAGAGTTGAAATGTGGGGGGAAGATAATGTTCTTTTGCTACAGTGATATACTCTAATGGGAGCCCTGGTCAGACTTGTGCTCCCATTCCTGGACTAACAGCCCTTTTCAGGTACTTCAGGCTGGTTAAATTGATGCTGAGAAATAAACCAGTTAAACCAGTGCACTGGTGGGGAGAGTCCTGGGGCACCCCAAGCTCTGGCGGTCACACACACTCTGCTCACCCTGATCCGCAGGAGCAGGTCTGCGTACCAGTTTGCCAAGCTGAGGAGGGAGGGATAGGCATAACGTGTCCATGATTCTGGAACGTTGTCATAGAAGAGAGCATTTGCCAGCTCTTCCATCTCAGATGTAATCGTCAGCTCTCCCTTTGAAAAAGAGAAGAGTCCAGGCAGTGTCACCTGCAGCCATGGTGGGACAGCCCCAGGGGTGTGCGTGGGCTCAGGGAGCAGAGCTTGGTGGGTGAGAGCTGCAGTAAAGGCAGAGAGTGCTTTGGAAAGACTGGGAGATGATCCAGGCAGCTGCCTGCTGTGTACCTGCAGTCCCAGGTCCAGCTCCTTCAGCGAGCGCCTGATCTCGTTGGTCAGGATGTTCATCCTTTCACATTCCTGGAGAGCTACCACAGTGTATGGGGTTTTTTCCTTTGCCTTTGCCATCATCTCCTCCATGTTGAATGGGTCTGGCAGCTGCCCAATGATTTCATCCAGGACTGACTTCACCTGAAATGAGAATGCCATAAACTGCTCTTGCCCAGAGAAAAATGCTGCAGGTTCCATGTAATTAAGTAGGCAAGATATTTTTCTTTTTCTGCCCTGGTGTTTCTTTGTACCTCCTCCTCTGTCACTAATGCTCCTTTCTGTTACTAACTGCTCTTAAAAAGCTGTCGTTCTTTTTTGATAGCCAAGGTAAGAGACCTGAGGCCACGGAGGCTGAAATTAAAGTGCAAAGTTCAGGCAGTCAGGAAGAAGATTTCTAAAAACAAATTATTTTAAGTCTCTTTTTTTAGTAGTTGCTCTCATGAATGGAGGCTCCTCAGCTAGCTCCATCATCTGAGGAGCCCCACGTAAGCCACTTGTTGCCAGTGGTGCATCTTGGCCCCATCAGGGCGTGAGGTTCCTGCCTGTGCTGAGTATGCTGCCGTCCCTGGGCCGATGACCACGGCGTGGCTGGGCTGGAATCGCCTCCCTCTGCTGTCCCTTCCTTACTGCTTGGGGCCTGCTCTCTCGCTTGCCTCCTGGCCTGTATCTGTCTCCCCTCGCTAGCCTCTCAGTTGTCACCCTTAAGAGGTCTTTTCCCCCACAGTAATTACTTCCCCCACCTTAAAAAAAAAAAATCAGTTAATTTCTCCCATAAAGAGACAGGACTTGACTTGCCTGTTCCTCTCGGGAGGTACCCGAGCCTCCGGCAGCCTCGGATTCCTTGGGCTGCAGTTCCAGCACTGTGCGGAAGAGCCTGTCCGAGGTGACGGTCAGGAAACCCATCTCAGCATTGGGGTGCAGGCCGTACAGGTGGGGGCTCTCTCCTGGCAGGTTGTCATCGATGTACTGGTGGTAGGCCTGAGCGCAGGGTCAGGGCCACCGTTAGCTTGCAAGCACAGGCAAAGGAGCCCAAAGTTCCCTGCAACCTTGAAAACCTGTCCCCGCTCACGGGGCCCTTTGCAGCACCTGCCCAGGCTCTTTTTTAACTTGTGTCTCAGCCAAGTTTTTCCCTTTGCATCTCAACCACAGGAATTACTTTTGCAGCAATTCTGGGGGCTTTGACTCTCTCCCAGGGCTTTGACTCTCTCCCTCCATTCCCCTTGATGAGCGAGAGGGAACGTGGACTCCTGCACATTTATCCAGAGCAGGGGTTTTCTACAGCAAATTGCAATGGTTCTTACCTCGTAATCCATGCGTGGAGGGATCATAAACCCTGGAGCCAAGGACACCTCCCCATCCAGCATCTCGGGCTGGACGTACTCGCTCAGGTATGTGCGGCACAGCCGGCGGTCCCAGTCGTCAGTGATGTGCCCCCCGTACATGATCTCACCAAAGAGGTACCGGAGGTCATCCCACGGCACCTGCAGGGAGAGGCTCCAGCTGGGGCTCCTGAGCTGCTGCCCAGGAGTTCCCCATGCAAGCACAGAGTGATGGCTCCAGGACTGACCTGTGCAGGGAGATGACAGTCCCTGGACCCACAGGGGCTTGGGAAGAGGGGTGTCTCTTGATCACCCACAGATTTCTCCTTGGCCCAGTATGGACACAGCCATCTGTGATTTGAATCCTCTCTTTTTCCCAACCAGCCCTGTTCATGTCTGTGAGGGCAGTTCTAAAGGTGAGACTTCAGCCCTGCTCACTGCACCTGCATTCTTGGGGTGGGCTTTGCTTTTTAGGTGGAACCACCCAATCACCAAGGCAGGCACATGGGCCAGGTGCCTGGTGCCTCTTCCACCCAGCTTGGTCAGACCCTCATCCCCTTCCCCTGCCTGAGCATGCGGGGAGCAGGGGAGGAACTGCTCCTGGCCCTGGGCTTCTTCCTGAGAGTGTTTGTGCTGCAGACTGATGAATGTTCTAAGAAAGGCCAGTTGTTGGAGCGTGTGCTGTACTGAGGAGCAGTCACCTTGTTATCCCTCACCTTGGTGTTGGCCTCCAGGTAGTTGTGCAGGACGTTAACAGAGACGGTCAGGTCGCCGTTGTTGAAGGGGTACGACCTGTTCCAGCCCTGGGTGCCAAACCTGCGCCGCTCGGCCACCGCCGCGTGGAAGTAGCAAAGTGCAAAAAGGATGCACCTGAACTCCGTTTCTTTACTGCACTGCTCCAGTGTTTCCTGCAGAGGAACGTGAGTGTGTCTTGCAGCTGAATACTGCTATCAGATGTCCCTCTAGTGAAGAACATCCATAGGCAAAAGAGAACCAAAAGTGTTCATTAGGGAAAAAAAACCATACAATTGTATTTTAATGATTTGCTACTTGGTAATTTTTGCACTCATCTGTTTATGAAGGAATTAGGAGTTCACACCCCAATGGCCTGCTGGCAGCTGAGGCAGCTTGTTCATGGCAAAGCTGCAGCTGCTCCATGTTCAGCCTCAGGAAAGGCCACTGGCAACCTGGCACTTCCTTGTGTTGGAAACCCTCGGGCAGCTCTGGTTACCCCTAAACCCCTGGCAGAAGGGGACTCCGGGCACTCCTGGAGGATGCCAGGGCTGGCTCCGGGTGCAGTGTCCCTGGCAGCGGTGACACCCCCGAGGAGCTCAGCCTGTGGAGCCCAGGGAGGGGATGAGCCATCCCTGCTGACCAGAACGGCCCTGAGAAGGCAGCAGTGGAAGGGCAGGAGTGGCACAGGGGCTACCTGGGAGAAGAGGTCGAGGGCTCCGTGCAGGTTGGCGCGCATGCCCGTGGGCGGCTCGCTGGTGATCTTGATGGAGTTGTCCAGCAGCCCCTGTGGGATGATGTGTGTCTCGGGGCTGGGGGCTGGCTCGGCGCTCATGAACAGCCGGTACTCGGCGTGGCTCTCCAGGCTGTGGTGCTCCACCAGCTTCTCCAGCGTGTCCAGCCACCGGGCCACTAGGTGGATGTTCTGCAAAAGAAACTCTCTGGACCTTGTGAATCTCACTTCCCGCCCCCAGTTCCTAGTGTGGCTCCACAGGGGGAAGGTGCAGTACAACCCAGCTGGGGCTGGTACAGCCAGCTAGGCCAGGCAGTGTCACTGCCATCGCCAGTGCCGTCAGGGCTGTGCAGCCTGTGGTGCCCACTGCCCACACCCACCTGCAGGATGACCCAGTGGCCCTCTGCGGCTGCCACCTCCATGGCGTGCTCTGCCACAACCTCCTGGCCTTGCCCCAGTGACACATTGTGGATCTTCCCGTTGTCAATGGTGAAACCCAGCCTCGTGCCTGGGAAGGGAATGTCTGCTGTCAGTATCAGTACTGAGCTGGGGCCATGCACTTCTGGCTGCTTGGCCCCACAGCAGCTCATGGCCAGCAGGGCTGGTGCCCGTCTGGGGTGGGCAGAGCCTCACCCAGTGCCTCCACG